CCTCGACTTGTTTCGACACACAATTCGCAATCAGCCTATCATCATGACGTAAATTACATTTTTGCATGGGAACCCTTACTTCTAGTTTTTTAAACAAATCATATAATACATGTATGTCCATGAAACTTACGATTCTAATAATAAAAAGCACAATGTTGTCCCAATTTTATTCTAACACAAAGAATTTTGACTGAAGTAAGAATTACAGTCAACACTGTTAATGTTAAACTAAATGATTATGATAATAGACAAATAAATAAATAATGATATTTTGGCCAGATTCCAATCATAGGATTCATTAATAAAAGTTTATCTCTATTTTAATCCAAGTAAAATAACAAACCGATAGAATATACATTTAACGAGTGCAAACATTATTTTTCTCTTAAACCAATTATTGAAAACATTCCGTCAAAAAGCACGGTCCTTTATGCCTTGATCAGATATGCCCCAGTCCATGTTTCGTTCAATAATGAAAAATGAAGAATTTCCAATTTAGAAATAGAGCGAGGAAGATATACAAGACCAATAAAGTTATGTAAAATCAACACTGGTACGGAAACTCATTTTATTTTTGAATGCCAAAAATTGGATAAAAATGAGATATGAATACCTTGATACGTTAAACTCAATTCGCCCAAATCTAACTCTATTGACTCTCGAAGGAAAGGCTTATTATATGTTTAATGCTGAGGGTAACATGTGTATCACCTTTGCAAAATACCTTTATGAAATAATTGAAAAGAGATCAACTATATTAACAATATAAATATATACATGTAGGCTAATAGTAGTGTTTGGTATATATATCTAATGATCAGTCAATCGCATTATATTGTCATTATACGAGGGTATATCATAAAGTTATCGTAATATCTCTCTAATTTTTTATTTTTCAGTATATTCTAATGACATTTTCATAAAATCTGCAGTATAGAATACTGTATTAATCTATTCAAAAATATTTGGTATAACAGATATATTAGATAAGTAATGGTTGACATAGTAACGGGAAATCAGGTCACCCGGGGCAAATAAAAATAATTGAGAGAATAAGCTTCATTAACCATGTTTACATTCATAATAAACTCTAATAGATTATCAAACACATCAAAATGTTATTTTGAATATGTTGTTAAAGGAATATTCCTTGCCAGACCCTTTCTCTCTTGATATGGTAGCTATAATCATATATATAGTTTCCATATTTAGCAAAACATGGGAAAATGTTTTAATATGGTCAATATTGATCATTTAAAAATCTAGTGCTAATTTCCAGTGAGCTGCCATCTTTTAAGATTTCTTGCAGGAAGTGATGTCATCAACTCTCAACTTCTATAACCTTGCCCATAACAGTATAGGAAAGTAGCACAAAATCACTTCTAGACAAGTGATCATTACTTTCTGTGCAAAAATATTTTCAGGGCTTGTCAACTTAGAATAAAAGAAGAGATTTTCAGAAGGATTAAATAAGATACAAAGTTGAAAAAGAATATTTTGCTGGTATTGTAATTCTTAATAGCTCCTCACCTAATGCTATATGCAAAGTTGAGAGTCGATGACATCACTTCCTGTGTGAAATTTTAAAAGATGGCAGCTTACTGGAATTGAGCATCACATTTCTAAGTGATCAAATTTGACCATATCAAAACATTTTTGCGTGTTTTGCTAAACATGGCAAGCATATATATGGTTATAGCTACCATATGAGGAGAGAGATGGTTTGGCAAGGAATATTCCTTTAAATGCTTTTACTATAAAATAAATTGAGCATGTAAATTGTGTGATGTCATAGGGGATGCTTACATGCTTCATACATGTGATACCAGACTCTGAGAATCAAAGCTTAATGATCAGAAATGACTGAGAAAGATCATGCATAGATGCAGAGATCATCAGAAAAATAAAAATTCATACTGATAAAAAGTTCGAAAAATCCTTTGCTCATACTATAGATGATCTAAAACAAAAATGTTGCAAAGATATCAACAAAAGTACACCCTATGTATGGTCTAAACATATTTAAGATGAACTAAAGGGGAAAATCGACTTTCCTAGGAATATTTGACAAAACAGTTGTGGTGTCTAACATCACTTCTAATGAAGCATTACAATCATCCATTATGGGATCACACAATTCACTTGACCATTATAATAGTTCAAAACAGTCAAGAACACTTATGATATTAACATTTTGATGTGTTTCATAGCTTATTTGATAACTTATCATGCATTTAAACATGGTTAGTTGGGACTATTCTTGCACAATTTTTTATTTGCCCCAGGTGCCTTGATTTCCGGTTACTATGGCAACCATTTCTTAAATAATATTTCTGTTATACTAAATATTTTTTAATAAATTAATACAACATTCTATACTACACATTCTGTGAAAAATTCATCAGATTATATTGAAAAATAAAAAAATTAGAGAGATATTATGAGAACTTTATGATATACCCTCGTATGTCATGTAAAATTTGCATTGTATGTTATTGTAATTGTATGTGATACGACGTCAGATACTGTACATCACGGCGTAACATTGTAATTGTTCATTTCACCGACAAAATGCAAAGATTTACGCGATAAATATGCGCAATGCTCCTCCAAGTAATTGCAGAAGTTTTAATATTCGTGGAATCTTCTTAAAAACTTCAAGTTTTGTTCAGATTAATGTGCACTTCAATACAATTCTATATTCAAAAAGGTTGTGTCACGATATACAGAATTAGAATCACCAGAAAGTAGACATTTCAAACCCTACCAGTTTTCTTCTTTGTCGCGCTTTTCGGCCCTGCGCTTTCGTTGTCGCACCGTCTTTCTAGACTCTTTCACAGTGCCCCTTGTCATATTCAACTGATATACACAGACGGGAAGATATTAAGGATTGTTAAATGCATTATTTGTAATTTATTTTAACTCGAATATTTAGTTTTATTTATTTAAAGCAATGAATAATAAAGGAGAACATATAATACTCCAACGGTGTAACGTCTTATTTTGTAAAGGCTTCACTTTGGGTTGCGGTGATAAAATGATGTCTATCTCAATATATACTGGTTCAAATTAAATGAAATTAATTGTATGTAGTAAGGGATATATTTAAAAGAACATGCTGAAACATTGGAATGTTTTGGAATGTTTATCCCTTAATTAGAAATATTTGAACTCAAAAAATGAAACGTAATTTTGTGAATTTTTCACATGGCTTCACTTCATATTTCTCTAACTTTATGCTTCTTACAGACTGAATTTTAATCGAAATGATATAGTTTTCTGATAAAAATATAGAATATGATATGCCTTTCAGGAATCAAAAAAGAATAATTCACCTTTCAAACGATTTAATGTTTAATTGACCAAAATATATATCTTGTTGGTACGAAATTCTGCCTGTCCACACTTTTTTGCATAAATATAAGCGTTAAGTTAGCATTGTTATATTATGACGTCATCACACAGAATCTGTTTGTCTTTTCCAAAATGGTGAATTTAAATATTGTGAAAATTTGAGAAAGATCTGTTAAGAAATGAAAAGGTTATCTTCATTTTTCGTTTAAAATCAAAATCATTTTTCTTCAAAATGTTTCAGTCCACACCCGGTTTTAGCATAGAAAGTCGCATAATACGGCTTGCGTGATTCTCATTTAAAAAGTCCCAAATCAGTTATTTGGAATTCCATGCTGTAAGGCAAAATATTTCATGGACATACGTGTTCAACTGATGACGAAAAATTGTAGAAAAATATGATTTTGCTGTCGAGATATTGCGGTTTTAAAAGTAAGTACGCATGTAAAAATGCAGTAAAATGCCGCGATGTACAGTATCTGACGTCGTATCATGTATAGTTTTAGTTTTTATTTTATCATTATTTGCTGTACACTTACCCGAAAGGGATTTTTAATACAATAAAGCATTGAATAATAATAATATTGTATTCAATTTTGAACAAAATACTCAATCGGCCAGGCGGCGTAGTGAAAATCGGAGCAAATGTGACCAAGGCATTATGTATAGGCCACTGATTGACAACAATTTAATGCGAAAGTTATTTAAATAGATTCTATACTGTTTTTGTAAACATTTTTTGATTTTAGTGAAACTGTTTTGTTCCTTTCTACCTATTCTTGAGAATGAAACCGAAACACAATAGCATATACAGCATTTTCTTAGACCTCTCAATATTATAGTTATTTGTACAAAGGAAAATTTGGTTGATTACTGCAAAAAGTATCCCAAAAATAAAACAAAAACCCCAAAAATAGATGAAAATTAAAGTAAACCTTTTATGTCATTAACAGGATACTTTTTTTTAAATCAACCAAAGTTTCCTTTGTACAGTTATAATCTTAAGAGACCTAAACAACTTGTGTATATGTCGGTTTGCTCCAATGAGGTTCGGATTGATGTTTTGTTTAATTCCGAATATATGATACCAAGAACAATAGAAGTGTCGGATGTGTTTTCTAAAACAATATATAGAAAAGTATATTTTTTCAAATTAGTCTGTACCATTCAAAAGATGATCACTAGATTGACGATGTGTAGGATTTTCAGAATTTATTCATGACTGGTTTAAGAGAAACGTGTGTTCAATTCAGTTCGTCATATCGATACCAATTCTTTTGAAATTAAAGAATGGATCAAGCAAGTAATATTGATAACTGATTAGGAAATAATTCCAATTAAATGGTGTATGACCGAAAATCATTCTTTGGTTTCCATACAACCCCTCTCAGTAGAGAGGGTACAAGTAACAAAGTACAAAGATGTGATGTGGTGCTCTTACATAATCCCTTGATTACTTATCGTAAATTAATACTCATTGCAATTAAGCAATTATCATTTATAAGATGCTATTATATAACAAAAACTGTATTTCGTTTATACAAGAGATATTGATTTTTGGAGAAAAATCGTGAGTATCACATCAATGGCTACAAAAGGAGGCATGTTCTGTAGGCGTGATTCCAGTCCATGTACTTTTACTGCAGTATGGGAATTTATCAAACTTGAATAAACACAAAATAATAATACACAAATCATCAGTATGAAAATAACATCATTAAATATTGCAATTGTTAATTGCGTTATTTGACTGTGGTTACATATTTCTGCGTAAAGGCCCGGTCACACCGCCCGGACGTTGCTGGTGCGTTCCTTGAACGTTGAAAAAATTCATCAACTCGTCAACGCGCACAAAATGGGGAAAAAACAAAAACACGGGCGTTGGCTTAGCGGTGCACCGCTGAAGCCGGCGTTGCTTTAGCGTTGGTTAAGCGGTTGCGAGCGGTAGCTAGCGTTTGTTTAGCGGTAATGCGAGCGTTGGTATAGCGGCGTTCTGCGCATGAGAGCGTTGCCTCGGCGGGGGTATAAATAGCAGCAGCGTTGGTTTAGCAGCATATCGCGTTTGACTACTGGGAAATTATTTCAAGTGGTAAGTGTTTAAGAGTAAAGACCTTTATTGGAATTTGTAACTTTAACAAAAGTCCTTCAAGGATTAAAGAAGAAATGTTTTAAATCTAAAGTGCTTCTATTAATGTAATATGACATTAAGAATGAATAACATTACAATTTTCTTTAATAATCTCTCATATCATTTCAAACAAACATATCACAATTTAATCGTTGCATTTCCATTACTTGGAACCGATTTACGTTCAAATTGCTTTAACAATGTCAAATAACATTTACAGCAAAGTAATAATCATGACGCATGACAAATTTTTGCATTGCTGTGCGCGCATCAATTTTTTGTATAATACCATGGCTTTTGCCACGATCGCAACCCCCTCCCCCGACTGAAAACCGTTATTGTTTTTTGGCGATCGCACCCCCCCCCCCGACTGAAAGTTGGCTACGCCCCTGAACATGGATAATAGGGGCACTATTACGCTGCGTGCAGAGTCTAATTATAAACTACGAGAAGACGAAACTCTCATTTAAGGAGTGAAGTCGAACAAATGCAAAGGGTAGGGTATTATAGAAGGGGTTCATATAAAAGCACGATCTATTTCAAAACGCCATTAACTTTTGTTCTTCAATTGTTGCCCTTTGTGCATTTCAAAAATAAAATATCTTAATCTGATTTGTTCCACCTTTCTTTTCGCTCAGTTCTGCAATATTATCGTTATGTCCATATGTTGTTTAGGATTATGTCATTTGCGAAATAGCTGTAAGACATTATGAGAATGAAGATGGGGGTTTCCACGATAATGTTGTTCACATGATTTTATACACATACCTGCATAACAATCGGAGACAGAAGTCTTAATATTGTCCAATCAAAAAATAAGAATCTAACATTTAATGATAACAAAAGGATTAATTGCTTAGTTCTCTTTGTCTTAGTCTTTATTTTCTTAAATGCGGAAGTGTACCAACATCACCTAGATTACTTAAGAGATCATCTAACAGTCTAAAATTGCTTTTAATTGCAAGTTAATGCATTCCGATCAAAATTTGTATACCTGTAATTTGGGGGGGGGGGCGATGTTACATCACATAACTACAACGTTCATATAGAAATATACTAATAAGCATGGCCGTATAAAAGCTAAAATTATAAAAACTCATTTCAAAGTCATTCTGTTCATGGAAGCGTCAAGTTATGAAAAACAATGCTAAACACTCAAACAAATCGACTTGATTACCTTTGAAAACTTCTTGAGAGGAAATGGACAAATGTATTTTTCGAACTCATTAGCACGTCTGTCTGATTGAAATACTATAAAAACATAAATGATTTAATCTTGGTCAGAAGTCTGAACATTGTCCAACAAAATAATAAGAATCTAACATTTAATGATTACAAAAGGATTAATTGCTATATAGTCTTTGTCTTAGTCTTTGTTTTTCTAACGGCGGAAGTGTACCAACATCACCTTGATTACAGAAGAGATCTAACAGTCTAAAATTGCTTTTAATTCCCGGGTTTTAATTACATTTTATGAATAGACTTTTTTGCCTCTATTCTCATTTTTAAACCTGTTTCTGTTTGCGTATTTAACAATTGTGATAAATTATTCAGTTAGTGTCGAAATCAAAACAATTTTCTACATTAATAGTCCCCTCCTCTTGCACTGACTAAATATTAAAATAAGCCAGTCTGATTGCGAATTTACAAATCCTGTAAAAGTAGCTTCAAACCGCCTTTTAATCAGAGAAAATAATAAGTTAATTCATCTGATTGCGAAAATACGAATCAATCTGATTATCTGATCTCCATGCTATTTGATTCGTGCATTATCTACAAGTCAGTCGGGCAAGGGTGAAATTATTTCATTTGAAAACAGAAATAAATATCAGAACCCCTCTAGCATAACTATTCGGAAGAAATTCATACAAAAATAAGGTACACAACTGATAAAGGGTCGCACGCAATGCACGCACCCCTCTCCTCCTCCTCCGTGTTTGCCCACACACGACCATATTTGACAATTTTTCTAAAAGCGTTTTCCCCGGGAATATAGGTGTAGCGGTTGCCAGAAGTCGCACAGCTTGGGAGTCAGGGTATCCTGATCCATGCCCAGGCCCGTAAGACACTTTTCTCCAAGGGGGGTGCGGTTTTTAGCTTTTTTTAGAAAATTTTGAAATTAAGTTGTATTTGGAGCGAATTTGCAACCATCTGGTACGCCTGTGCGTTATGAGTCAATAAGAAAAATGTGATTTTTTTCAAATTCTTTTGGGGTGTCAAAGAGGATGAGAGGGTGATGTGGGGTGGGGTGCCAGTAGGGGAGATAGGGGTTGTCCCCCAGAAACATTGAACATGCATATCAAGGTGCTATTTGATGATGTCTGGCACTTCTGAGACAATACATGAAATTCAGAATATTTTCTTTTGTTTTGTGGGGGATGTGAGGGGTGGCTAACTCTCCTAGAAAATTTAGGGGGGTCTGGGGGTTGTCCCCCAGGAAAATTTTGAAATTTGGTTGTATTTGGAGCGAATTTGCAACCATCTGGTACGCCTGTGCGTTATGAGTCAATAAGAAAAATGTGATTTTTTTCAAATTCTTTTGGGTGTCAAAGAGGATGAGAGGGTGATGTGGGGTTGGGTGCCAGTAGGGGAGCAAAGGGTTGTCCCCCAGAAACATTGACCATGCATATCAAGGTGCTATTTGATGATATCTGGCACTTCTGAGACAATACATGAAATTCAGAATATTTTCTTTTGTTTTGTGGGGGATGTGAGGGGTGGCTAACTCTCCTAGAAAATTTTACAATTTAAAGATGATATTTGGTGCTTCTGGGCACTTTTAAAGTGTATTAGTCAATAAAAACATTGAAAAACAATCGCAATTTTTTCAAATTTTGGGGGTGTCAAAGGGGGGGGGAAGGGTGCCAGAAGGGGAGGTGGGGCTGGGGTGCCAGAGGGGGAGCAAGTGTTTGTCCCCCATATCAAAATTTACAATATCAAGGTGCTATTTGATGAAGTTTGGGCACTTTAAAAGTGTCTGTGCCTAAAAGTGCCTATTTCCCAAGAAAATTTTACAATTTTAAGATGCTATTTGGTGCTTTCTGGGCACTTTCAAAGGGTATGAATCAATAAAAATTTTTTGAAAAATCTCAATTTTTTTTGTTAAGGGAGGGGGGCTGCCAGAGGGGGAGGTGGAGTGGGGATGCCAGAGGGCAAGTAAGTGTTAGTCTTCCAGAATCATTAACTTTATCACGGAGGTATTTGGTGATGTCTGGGCAATTTAAAAGTGTCTGAGACAATACATAAAACAAATTCAGGACTTTTCCATTTTTTTGGGGTGTGTGAGGGGTGGCCCACTCCCCCTAGAAAATTTTACAATTTTATGACGCTATTTGGTGCTTTCTGGGCACTTTTAGTGTATGAGTCAATTAAAGAATTTGAGAAAATCACAATTTTTTTTTGGGGGGGGAGGGGGTCAAGGGGGGGGGGGGGCGCCAGAGGGGGGGGGGTTATGCAAGTGCAAGATGGGGAGTAAGTCCCCCAGAAACAATAACTATATCAAGGAGCCATTTGATGATATCTGGGCACTTTAAAAGTGTCTGAGACAAAACTCTAAAATAAAATTAGAACTTTTCCATTGTTTTGTGGGGGGGGGGGTGAGGGGTGGCCAATACCCCTAGAAAATTTTACAATTTTAAGATGCTATTTGGTGCTTTCTGGGTACTTTCAAAGTGTATGAGTCAATGAAAAGAAAATTACAAAAAAAAATAAATTTCAAATTAATTTTGGGGGGTGACAAAGGGGGGTGCGGTCGCACCCATCGCACCCCCCATCTGACGGCCCTGATGCCTCAACGTCTGACGGGTCTGATATTTAGAGGGGGTGCAAAAATTATTAGGGGGCGGGGTAAACGTGAAAGTTGTCAAAATATCCATAGGCGTAGCCAGGAGGGGAGGGGGTGCGATCGCAACCTCCCCCATAACAATAAAAATAAAACGCTGAGAAAGAAGAAGAAAGAAGCATTAAAATGCCACAATCATACCCTCCTGACTGAAAACCGAAATCTTTTTGGCGATCGCACCCCTCCCCCCTCCTGACTGAAAGCTGGCTACGCCCTTGATATCTGTTTTTGGTCATCAATAAAACTATATTTATATGGTGAGGATTTATGGATTTTGATAACAATAGGCTTTATATATGCTTTAATGTTTTATTTATCATGATGCTTTTATGTAGGCTATTAATTACAGTTCTTTTTGCAATAAAAAACTGGTATGTTTATGCCATTGGACTAATATAAAGGGATATTGTTTCATTATGTGGACTTGAGAAAGTCCGACATACTCATTGCTTTCAACCCAAAACTTAAAATAGGAAGTTATCAAGATCCCAAGAACACGATCGCTACTTAAACAATACGTTTGTAAAATCCCGGCGATCGAAATGCAATCAAACTTTCGCAATCAGGTGCCTAATTAGTCTTTTGATCTCTAAAGTTTACAACTGAACTTTTCAATGAACTCGTGAGAAGCAAACGCAATCATCATATAAACATTTTTCTAGTAAATCTAAAATAGAGTAAAACCCAGGGAAAAAGATCGCGTGGTTATTTGATTATTTCATAGGAATTAGGCATATTTCAATT